AGGCATGTCAATGCCAAGAATAAGCGCCATAATGCGTTTCGTATTTTTAAGACATTAAATATATTTTTATATAAAAAAATAGATTTTTTAATTTATCATAAAAAAAATAGATTTTTAAAAAAAGGGATTAGGCAGGAATGCACGCATTATTCCCGCATTTTACATGGAAAACGTATTTTTCGCGCATTTCCCAAATTCGACGCGTTTTCGATCCGCGTCGTGCCTAGGCGCGCATTTTGGCTCATTTTAGAACATGGATAATAATTAATGAAACAAATGATCACTAATGAAAATTCTGTCAATAGTTGCCAACGATAGTAGCGTCGGAGATTTTCATGGATATCAATATATTAATGATTTCGAGGGGATTTAACGATAGGTGATAACCGATGCACATCCATTAGTAATTACCAACAACAATGTCATAAGCGATGTTCACAACCACCTACAATGCTTTGGTCACTTGTTGAAGACAAAGATGTAACCGATGATTTTTATTATTTCATTTATATTTTTCTATAAGTTATTCACAATTAAGTTCAATTATCTTTTTATTTTTCCTTTGTTAAAATAGCGATAGATTAGTCGTTAATTTGATTAGAATCACTGACAGCTATATCATCGGTAATTTTTGTTGACGTCGAAAATTGTATAAATAAAATTCAAGCTAACTTCAAGTATAAATAAGGATTTTTATTAATAATTACTTAAAAACTACAAGTGTTTTTATCAAAAGAGATATTTAAAATATGAAGTTGTTATGCTTCCTCTCACTCATTTCCCTAACGATACCGTCCTCCTTTTTATAGGAAATGATCGGTTTGTATATTTCATATTCCCCGTCTTCTCAACAAGAATATCGAGCTGAAAACTTGTGCTAATGACTTTCATCTTGATTGGTTGCTATCAAATCAACAAACAGTACTGACTGGGAAGGTACGCCAATGGCATATTACTATTGTCAGCTCCATCATGTTATCATGAAGCCACCTTAAATGGAGTCCCCAATAATAATGAACTGATTAGAGAATAAAGCTATAGCATATAATTGGTGGGCGCTGACGTAAGTCCTTCCAAATGTCTTTAATTGATTGAATGTATTGACAGTTTGTACGGAATTTACAATCGTTATATCATTTCAAACCACAGTGGTCATAAGTATGAGCTGACCTTGCAGATCCGACTTTAATTTAGCATGAGCTATGTGCATATAATAAATGGACTTAATTAGGTCACAGATTGGATGTCAACAATTTTAAATTTACCTTCGTCTATAATATCAATGGCAATATCGTTGACAATTTCAATAACCATCGATAGTTCTTTTATTATGGAAGTTGTCGATATCACTAACGAAAATTAATTATTCTATATTTCCATTTTTTTATTAATTTATTGAAATATTTTTGTAATAAAAATTTGACGCAGAGTCGGTAAAATTATTTGGAATTCAAAAATTTGAAATTTGGGAGTTTACCTAAATATTGAGCAAGCAACGTTTGAAGTTGAGTCGGCCCTCAAATTCCATCAAGTTTAATTCACCTAGAGAGTTAATCAATATCCAACTCAACATATACATGTTAGATTAGTCACCTATGTTAAATTTAGCCCTGTTTGATGTCCACTAAAAAAAAATATTTTTTTTTTGGGAATATTGATTTTTTAAAGAATGCGTGGTTAAAAATAGGAAAAATTTCTGGGTTAACGTACAAAATATTTTATTATAAGTTACACAC